TCCAAAAAAAAAAAAAAAAATCATCCAGGCACATATGTGCTTACCCAAAATCCAAGAGGAGAAAGGAGAAGACGAGACTGCAGCATGGCCACCTCCCTGGGGCTGATTTCTCTCTCTCTCTCTCTCTCTCTCTCTCAGGTGGAGATCTGAACCCGTGGTTGAGTATGTGGCTTCCAGCACCACAGTCCAGCTATGCCACCAAGGCTGGGCTGACGAGTGCTCTTTCTGCCTAAGACAGGCTTCTCCAGCCACCAGTCCCAGCAGCTGACCACGGGTACCATGCAAAGTCGCACAGGAGCCGCAGTCCCCACTGAAACGCGCGGGCCTTTACTATACCACAGACTACCGACCACCACTGCCCTCCCCTTACTTTAGAAATAGTTCTTTCCACGTGGCCCAGGCTGGCCTCGAACTCATGGGCCTCCTGCCTCTGCCTCCCAAACAGCTGGAATTACAGGCATGGACCACTCTACTCAGCCCCCATTCTGATTTAGCACCAAGGAACCTTAAGGCAAAGACCTCTCTGAGGGAGGGGCCGCATGACGACCCTGCACTGTGGCAGCCCCAGCTCCCGGGAGCCATCAGCACTGGGGGCCTGCGAGCGTCACTCCCTCGGCTCAGCGTTGCCTGGTGCAAGCTGTGGTGCCCGCCCTGTGCAATGGGCCCAGCAGTGCCTACCCTTGGCGCTGCGCAAGGGTCGGCTGGAAGCGAGTGTGGAAGCAGCTCGGCACAGCACGATGGAAGTTACCTCGGTTCACTGCGTATTGCGCCGGAACACTGCCTGGACAGGTAACGCAAACACTAGGTTTGAGTCGCTGCCTCTGTCACTTGTGGCTGGTGTGAACGGCTTAGTCTGAGTCAGTCGCCCCATCTGTAAGAGGCATCGTCTAACACCACCGCACAGACAGTAATGAGGGTTCAGCGAAATGCACAGACGTTTTCTGAGCTGGGAAGGGCTTCACGAGGTTTGTAAGGAGACGGCAGTGGGGCTCCCGGCAGGCCCCGGTAGGAGTGTGGAGTAGACAGTGTGCAGCCGTGGGGCTCAGAGAGAAAAGAGGGGAGCCTCGGGGGACAGAACGGCGCAGAGGGTTCACCCAGGCAGCCTGCCGCGGAGCGCCTGCCCTGGTCCCATCAGTGACCTCGGTGCTGGGTGCAGCAGTGAGCAGGAGAGAAGAGCCCCGTCCTCAGGGCGCTGACACGCTGATGCATCTGGGGAGCAGAGCAGGGGGCGTCGACACAGAACTGACCTAATGAACAGGGAGGCCGGCAGATGGCGTAGCAGTTCCATCGCTGGACGCTCACGTGGCCGACCATGGCTCGAGTCCTGGACCCATTGGCTTGAAACTCACACTGGTGTGTGTGTGTACACTCAAGATCCCGAGAGGAGAATGGAGGAGAAGGGATTGCGGCGTGGCCATCCCTGTGGGAGGTGATTTCTTGCTTTCTGACTTTCCATCTTTCTCTGTCTCTCTGCAGAGTGCACGTGCCCTATAGCAAAAACTTCTCTTTCCAAAAAAAAAAGAAAAGAAAGAAAGTACTAACAGGTGTCAGACCAGCAGATGGTGTAGCAGTTACATCACTAGGCTCCCGTGTGGCCAACGGTGGTTCAAGTCCTGGACCCGGTGGCTTGAAAATCACACCAGGCATGTGTGCATGCATGCCTAAAATCCCAAGAAGAGAATGGAGGAGGAGAGATTGCAGTAGGCCACCCTCACTGGGAGGGGGGGGGGCGCTGATTTCTTGCTTTTTGTCTCTCTGTCTCTCTATCTTTCTGGCGAGCGAATGTGCCCTATAGCAAAAACCTCTCCAAATAAATAAAGTTAAATATATTGGGTCTTCAGAAAAGTCATGATACATTTTACATAGAAAAATATGTGTGCGGAACGAGCCCGAGAGACGCCACGGAGGGAAAAGAGCTGGCTGCGGAGGTCGAGGAGACTCAGAGGCGGTGCGGTCGCTGATGGTGATGGTGACGGCAGAGGTGGGTGACCGGAGGTGTCCCGAGGGGGAATTCTCAGTGCGGGACAGGGCACTGCAGCAGACTGCAGCAGACCTGGGACGGAGAACACTCTCTGAAAACACCGTCTCCCTCTCGGGCAAGTAGCTCCCACCCCTGGGTTTCGGTGTTTAGCCTCTTCCTCTCCCATGAGCCCCCACTGCCCTGGGACCAGGGGTGACCCCCAGGCTGTTTGGAGGGGCATATACCTGGCTCGCTGAGGATAAGGTGCATGGCATGGGGAAAAGAGAATGGGGAAAGCAACCCCCACTGCTAAATTCTGTCTGCGCCCCGTGCTCTGACCCTCTGCTGTCCTCACGTGCTCTCCTGTGCTAGGACGCAGAGCCCCTGGGAAACCAGAGCGAGCGGGAGAGACCAAAGGAAGAAGCACATCATTACCTGGGAATAAAAGCATCAAAGGCTGCTGCTGGCGGGGGCGCGGGCTCCAGGGCTTTTCTCCCTCCGCTTCCCCCTTCTCTCTGTTCCTTCGTCACGCTCTGCGGTTTGTCCAGCTGATGCTCCAAGCCCGCGGTTCCCCGGAGCACAGTGTGCTAAGTGATGCGTGCAGGGAGGAGTCCATGCACCCTTCTCTCCCAGGAGCTGGGCTTCCTGGGAAGAGAGGCCCAAGACAATGCGGCCCCTGACTGTGTCTGCGAACCTGGGGCGTGCGGCCCAGCAGCCCTCGCTGCTGGCTTCCTGGGCCTCGCCGTGCCCTCCTGCCCTTCGAAGATTCTGGAACAATTCCTGGCCAAGGGAGACCATGAGGCTCCACCCTCAGGCACTCGGACTTTGATCTTTTGCAAAGGATGGGGAGACAGCAACTGTAGGGGACCCTAGAGGGATATGTGTACGGCTAGAAAATGGGTGTTCTAAGGGCTGGCAGGTGGCATGGTGGTTAAGGGAGCTGGATTCCCACATGGCTGACCACGGTTTGAGTCCCAGACCTGGCGGCTTGCTTTCTCGCTTTCCCTCTCTCTTTCACTCTGTCCCTCTCTGGTCAAATTAAAATAAATAAAGTCAAGTAAGAAATTCTTGAGGGACCAGTAGTTGGTGTAATGGCTATGTCACTGGACTCCCACGTAGTCTACCACGGTTCACGTCCCAGACCCAATAGCTTAAAACTCACTGGGCGCGTGTGTGTGCGTGCCCAAGATCCCGAGAGGAGAATGGAGGAGAAGGGATTGCGATGTGGCCATCTCCCCTGGGAAGTGATTTCTTGCTTTTTGTCTCTACGTCTCTCTCTGTCTGTCGGATGAGAGCATGTGCCCTGTAGCAAAAACCTCTCTCAAAAAAAAAAATAAATAAAATAAGGACCAGCAGTTAGCGTAATGGCTATGTCACTGGACTCCCACGTAGTCTACCACGGTTCACGTCCCAGACCCAATAGCTTAAAACTCACTGGGCGCGCGTGTGTGCGTGCACACGATCCCGCGCCAAGATCCCGAGAGGAGAATGGAGGAGAAGGGATTGCGGCGTGACCATCCCCCCTGGGGGGTGATTTCTCACTTTCTGTCTCTCTGTCTGTCGGGTGAGTGCATGCGCCCTATAGCAAAAACCTCTCAAAAAAAAGAAAATGTATATATATACATATGTGTGTGTGTGTGTGTGTGTGTGTGTGTGTAGTAATTCTTGAAAGAAAAAAAAAGAAAATAGGTGTTCTAGTCTGTTCTACTGCTAATTACAGAAAATACCCGAGTCTGGATAATTAGCGGAAACAGGTTTTATTTGTTCACCCGTGGCTGGGAGGCCCAGGCCCCGGCTGAACCTCTGGCGGCACCACTGTGTGTGCGAGGGCCAGGAGGTGGTCTGTGCTCTGTGTGTCCCGTCTGGTCTCACCTCCGTCCTGACAGGCCACCAGGAGTGGATCTCAGGGACCCACCCAAATCACTTAATCACACCTAAGGCCCCACCTTTCAGGCTATGAAGGCAGACGGTTCCCCTTAATCCTTCACAGCACGTCCAGGTTCTAACACGGGAATGCTGGGGGCACGCCCCATCATAGTGAGGAGGGTGGATGAAACTCACTTTCTTACACCCAGAAACAAAGACAGACCAGAAGCCAAGTCGAGAGCTGCTGAGTTTTATTGGCAATGAGCATGGGACAGCAGGACTGGGCGGCCGAGTGGGTGGCGACTCAGCTCAGCATGGGGCAGGGGAGGCTTCCTTCTCAGACTTCCAGCTCCGGGCTCCTCGTGCAGCACCCTAAGGCCCCTGCGATCCAGGGTTCCGAGGACGAGGGGAGCCGGCTGCAAGGTCCCAGGAAGAGCCAGGACGGAGAGCTCCGGGAGCAAGCTGACCGTTGGTGCCTGGGTATTGAATACTCCCCCAGCTGGTACCGGGGTACGGGCGAATCGCTCCCCAGCCGCCTCCTGGGTATTGGCTCAGAGACCCCCAGCCACCTCCTGGGTATCGATTAATGTTCCCCCAGGGGTTGCCTGGAAACGGATTATTGATACCCCAGACTCCCCCAGGGAGTGGCATGGGCCTCGTTCCCCACCCTGTCCCAGGTCCGCCGCCTCCCCAGGACACACTGGGACGCAGGACCCCCCAGGGGTGACCAGGCAGAACCCTGTGGATGAGAGGCCAGGGTGGGCGTTGGGCAAGGATTTTTCCTTTGGCTCCCAGCAAATTAGCTCGGGGTGCCCGTCCAGGCTCCGAGCCCTGGTAAAGGAGTGCAGCCTCAGATGGAGGGCCCTCGGGGTGTGCCGAGAACATCACAGGCAGAGGGCCCCCCTCAGGGGGGCTGGCTGGGCTGGAAAGGTAAACCACCCTTTGGGGCAGTGAAGGCACTTCCCCTAGGAGGGCCTCAGCTGGAGCAGCCATCGCCTGCCAAGGGCCCGCAGAGGGCCAGGAGTCCACCACGGGCAGCCCCCCAGAGGGAGGCCAGGTCTGTGGCCCGGAACCTCCTGCAGGGCGGGCGTCTGGTGGAAGGTCATTGAGCCCCAGAGGAGCCCTCACTAAATCGTTAGGCTCAGGGTCTAGCCTGGGCTGAGGATGCTCAGAGTTCAAGGGCCCCGTCAGGGAAGGCTGTCCAAGCAGAGACACAGCAGGCCCCGAGTTTGGGGGTGCTTTCCCCTCCACCGTCCCGATGCTCCGGGCCAGGAGACCTGAAGGAAAGAGAAGGTAAAGCAAGAAGCGGCTCAGACGCCTGGGCCCAGCGCCCTCCCTTCCCTCGTCCCTTCCCTTCACTCAGGGACCCACATGTCCCAGCTCCTCAGGGGTCCCGGTCCCTCCTGTGCAAGGGTCAGGGACAGCCCCGTACCTGGGAGGTGCAGACAGACCAGGAGCAGGCCCAGGGGAGCCCGGCTCCCTGCCACGCAGCTCTGCATCCTGCAGCCTGGCCCCGCCGGCCCTGGGCAGCAACCTTTATCCTGTGCGTGGGGCGGGGGGTGCGGGGCGGGCTGGGCCAGTGGTTGTTCAGACAATAGACCTCCACGTTCCACCCTCACTCCTAATCCGCTCTGTGGCAACAGGTGCCACCTGAATGTCCCGGAGGACGCGGGTGTCCCCACCCAGGCTCCTTTCCTTGTGCTCCGGCTCCCTCTGTGACCAGGTGTTCTGGCTCCCCGCTCAGCCCTGGTCGCCAGCCAGCCCTACCCCTCCCCGCGGCAC